GTCCAGGGCGGCACGTGCATTGTCAATGTTGGCACGCTGCACCGACTCGATCTCATTCAGGGTAACTGATTTTATGGAGCCAGCTAAAGAGATCGTGTCCATCCGTGACATGGCCGGACGGCCAGACTTGCCGGTGACAGGTGCCAGGCCACCTAGAGATGGGGACGGAAGCTGGTTCATGATGAGCATGATGACCAGGTGGATCTCGTTCCACTGAGTTGTCGTTATGCGCCACTCACTCAAACAAGCCCGAAACAGACGCAACAGTTGACGCGTCACTACCTCGACTGTCCCATTCGCCCACGGTCAGCGAACTGTGGTGAAGTGATGGTGCGCTCCCAGTACATGTTGGAGCTCGGCGGTAACTTGGTTCTTAAAGTGAGTACCTTGGTCCGACACCCATTCATAGCACACACCAAACACCGCAAACCATTGGAGCAGACAGTCCTTGGTGAACACTGCCGTGGCCTCCTTGAAAGGATATAGCCACACCAGTTTGCTGGCGTCACACTTGATCACCAACAGATACTTGTCACCCGTCTTGGAGTTTCCCATGAAGAGATAGTCCCAGTGCAACAAACCATTTGGCTGGGTAGAGTGCAGGGCTTCCCCCAATGGTAGTGGCGCACCACCGGATACACTGGCACAATGCAGGCAGCGCCATGGAGAAGAACACGTCCTTCTCCATGGTGCTCCACCAGCAGAACGCCAACAAAATCTCAAGAGTATGACTGGCAGCCCGATATCCGGCCAAACTCGCATGGGCACACACACACAAGCGTAGCCGCAGTTCGCTTGTCTCGTCTGGCACCCATAACACCTGGTTAACCAACCGTAGCGACCACGTCTCGCTGGAGTCGAGGTGGAATTGATGCTCGGCCAGCTGGCTAGAATCCAGGGTTAGAGCAACCGGAGTGTCAGTGTCCAGCCGTTCTCGTTGGGCGGCTCCAATGGCCACCAAAGTCGGCCACTCAAAGGAGCTGCTTCGCAAGGGAGATACCATCAACGGTTCTCGGCTGATGGCACAAATGGACTCTAGGGGCGATTCCCAACGCGAGAGCAGGTCGGCCCACACGTTCGTCGCTCCAGGTATGTCACGAATCTCGTAACTGTAGCCCATCAACAAAAGAGCCCAGCGTTCCAGCTTCTGGGCGGTGTACTTTGGTACAGAGGACACCACGGCTGTCGGGTTAAAGATGAACTTGAGATTGCGATGGTCGGTGTAGACAGTGTCGAGTGTGAACCCAGCTGCAGGATGCAGCAGGTAGTCAGCCCTGATCAGTGTTTCCACGATGGCATAGGCTTCCTTCTCCACCTTGGCCCGCTCAGGAACATGAGTGGCTCATGGAATTGAGCTTCCAAAGGTCGCTCCAGCTGGTCTGGTGGGACTTGAGTGATTACAGCACCCCAGTGCTCTTCCGAGGCGTCGGCGAACACACACAGCCTCATATCTGGCTTGGGATGGCTGAGTTCCACCACCTTGGCTAGAGCCTTCTTGAGGCTTCCAACGCGGCGGTATGAGTGTCATTCCAGCCGACATTAGCCAGCAGCACAGTAGCCGCCAACTGCTTGATACGCTTCCCACCAACTGCAGCAAACACACGTTCCAGTACCGCCGACAGGTCTCGTACCAACACGTTGAAACCAGGGATGGACATACGCATCCAGTTGAGAGCACACACATACTGCTGGAGGTCAGCACCTGTCTTGGGCTTCGGCAGCTGTTTCAAAGCCTCCACCCGCGCTGGGTCGTGTTTCACAGCCGTCCTGCTGATGATGCGGCCTCACCACTTGGCATCCTTTGCGTAGAATTGGCACTTTTTCGGGTGCAGCTTCAGACCACGCTTAGCACAGACTTCAAGCACTTCAGCTAGAGCCGAAAGCAGGCCAGTTGGCGTTTTGTGGTAGCCCAGAAGGTCATCCAGCCACGCCAACAAACACCTGTACAACTGCTCAGCAAACATGGCTTGAACGGTGGACTGGCAGTAGGCCACACTGTCGCTGCCACCTTGCATGACGCGGGTGGACGTGTAGACACCGGTGTTCGTCAAGAAAGAGAACATCTCTTGACAGCTCTTGTCCAAGGAGAATTGCCAGTAGCCTTTGAAAAGTCCAACATGAAAAAGCACGTGGCGCCACGAGAATGGTCCACAACAATTTCCAACATGGGCATCGGCCAGGCAATCTGCTCCGTCTGGCTGTTGACAGGGCGCAGGTCCACCGTCATACGGAACTCATCCTTGGTATGGGGCTTGCGTACGATCAAGGGTGCACACGCCCATCGGCTGGTAGGGTTTCGATAGATGAAACCAGCCTTCTTCAGCCCTTCCACAGGTTTATGCATGAACTCGCGTTGAGGGAGAGAGTAGCGCCTCGCCTTGCAGCGAACTGGCTTGGAGACCCTGGTGGGATGCACTTTTAAGGGGGGCATGTCCACGGGTGGATCGTGGCCAAGCGTAAGCCGGAACACGTCCACATACTTGGCCAAGAGCTTGGATAGACCCAGGGCAAACTCACTGCCACAGCCTGCTGCCATGGCTTCAGCCACCTTGGCATCCAAAACAGCCTGAAATTGGCTTGTTCCACAGCGGGGTCCACAGGTGTCATGTCAGGGAAACATGCGGCCAGCTCCATGGCCTCTTCCTCATCGGCCAGGTCATCCACCAGCTCTTGCTTGGTCGCCAGCATGACCGCCTTTACCACCTCACTGGTTGACTCCACGTCCCCCATGTCATACTCGCTGCTAACCGAAGCCGCATCACGTAGCATGGACTGTGGGTCGTAGCCAAGTTTGTACATTATGGGACGGTCAGCAGGATGTTCCCAACACCAGACAGCAGGTCATCGGAAGAGAGTCAGCACTTGACGTTAGCTAGTACCAACGGACCGACATCTATCTCGAACTTGAGCGTCAGCTTGACTTCCTGGGTCACTGTGTGGCTTGGACCAACGAAATAGGTGCGGGCAATTCTGTCACCACCATGTCACGCCCCGCGTCTTGCAGCCGCTTTAGCGTCCTTAACGGGATCACACTTTGGTCCGCTCCACTGTCGAACGAGGCGTCCATCGCTACCACTTGGTTGGCGGTACACAAAACTCTCGCAGCACACAGGATGGCCGTCGTTTCATTCGCAACTGTTTTCACCTCCTTGGCAATGGTGACAGCCCTTCCAGGCTTGCTTTCCTTCTTCGTTTCGGCCCATATGACCTTGGCTCGGTCCATCAACAGGCGAGCCTCACCACTTGCCACTTTGGGACACTTGAACACATTGTTGTCGGTGCTCAGACACTTGAAACACCGTCCGTCAGTCTGGGTGAAGTTTGCCAAGGGCACATTGCCCACGATGACTACGGCGACAGCTTTGTCCCCTCTCTTCGAAGCTTCTTCTCTAGTTCCTTCACCTTTTCCGCCACTGGCTTGGGGGGAAGAGGGGCAGCTTGAACCAGAGGTTCGAACTCACCGTAACGCCGCATGATTCGGCAAGCCAATTCTTGAAAGATCGTGCATCATTCTTGTCGCACGGTTCTCGTGAAGCTTCATTAGTTCGCGCACACGCTTCTGCACAGCAAGTGGCGTGATGGCCGCCATCAGGAAATCCACAGTCAGCTTGGGTTCGGTCTCGGCGAAACCTTCCATGTTTAGATGGACAAGCGCAGCTTCAAAGTCGCTCACCAGCTTGGAGACTCGAGATTCGGCTGAGATGATACACCCGTCCATCTTAAGCTTCCCCATAGCTTGGTTGAGCTTAGTCATGTCCACTGGGTCACCGTTTCGGGCACTCAGGAAATAATCACGGCAGTCTTCATCGTTTACAGTCCGCGAAGGCATCGAGGGGACCGAGATTAGAGTTAGTTGACATTATTGTATTTCAAAGGTAGAG